TCTGGTATAGAGGAACAGTCGGAGTTAAATCGCCAGAGAAAGGTACTTGAAAAACATCCGACGAACCCGATGTATATTCAGAAACCAAATGGTGACTGGACGTCAACTTGTGAGGAAATGCTTGAAGTCCTAATGAACGCGCACTTTCCAGGGTGTACTAGGGAACCTAGCGGGACCATAAAGTCCTTCCAGCCCTACAAATCTCCAGGCATGGATGGTATTTCCCTGCCAAACTTCAGGCAGCATCTGGCGTTTTATGTCTGATACTTGTCCTAATCTATAAGGCTTGTCTTAAACTTAGTTTTATACCCAAGGTGTGGACCCTTCAATAATGTTCTCCCGGGATATGTTCTCGAAACCTAACTCGCCTTGGGCTGGTTCACCCTCTGATCGAGTTTGTCCATCGCCTCCTAGGTCGTAGAGCTATATATTCGGAGATGGGGGAGGTATCCATAACAAGATATGCAAGCCGCGGCACTCCACAAGGCAGTGTTCCCTCCCCACTCCTTTGGAATCTAACGGTGGATACTCTGCATTCATTGCAGACGACATACTGAAAAACTAGCAATATTCGTTCACCCATTTCGCAGAAATTTCAAAATTTCTGACACAAGCCATCATTGAACTTCCAAATAGTGTAACGTAGCCAGTGCACTTTCGAATGTCTATGACTTTGAAACCCAAGGATTTATTAAAACCTTTATTTTACAGTGGCATAGATTTGACTAATCATACCACCTAAAAAGCCCAGTTCGTTTTGAGTTATTTAATAGACAATTTATTCATATTGTAGAAAAAATGCGTACGAATGTAACGTTGCTAGTCAAATAATCGACCCTATGCTTATTGTTGGTGTGATTTCTGCATTTGACGTAGCGTCGACGCTTTTATTTAGGTATGGTACTTCGGCGTTAACGCTAGACGTCAGAAAACGCTCCCCCAACGTTTTTTTAGGTACGGGAGTTAGCGACATGATGAGTATAAGATCAGATATATAAATAAAGATATGCGCACATACATAAGTTATTTTTCCTAATACAATATTTTTTTAGTAATTAAGTTAAGTGAACCCTAATAATTTCATTGCAAAATAAAATTATTCAAAACGGGATTGACACGTGTATACGCCTAAGTGTTAAGAACGTTATCAATACAATTCCTCGTCTAAATCAACTCAAGCTACTGTTCCATATGACCACATACATACATATGTTTATGTAAACAATTTGTTTGTCCTCTAATGATATTCTAGTGTACATATAAGTTTAAAAAAAGATGCCATTTATACATAAGTACATTAGACTGCATCACTCCCCATACAAAAAATCGGTACTGTGTTTCCACTGGAATTATAAAATCTATTATATTTTAAAACTTGCACTTGTGAGCTGCACCGATCCGAAAATACCTCTAAAAATGGAGTTTTTAATGAATAAAAAAAGTTTCTGAAGAATTTTTTCAAAAAAATCCCTTCAGATTTCAAAACAGCTGAAGCTTAAAAAATTTGCATAAAAGTATTTAAAAAATGGGGTATCATTGGAAAGGTATTTTCTCATATTTTTTATGAAAGAGAAAGATATGATGAACGAGCGTCATTCCAAGTTGAATTAAGATGTGTTGGTATTAAAAAAAGAATGAGGATGTGAATGAGTTTTTTTTTAGAGAGAAAAGAGTGGGAAAATACTAGGGATGTGCCGGATATAGATTTTGCCGGATAACCGGATTCCGCATATCCTGTAAAAAATAACAGCCGGATTCGGATATCCGATCGGATATCCGGTAGACTGCTGCCCCTAATAAATTTCACAATATTGTTTTTTTGCCGGCTCGAATTCACCTCGACCTCCGCACCGTTTCTGATGCTACAGAATTTACCACTTCGAAAACACAATTACGCACACATCTGTGCGATGCTATCGCAGTGAAAAATGGCATCTTATAAACAAACAAAAACCAATCTTCATCAAATTCTTTGCTTTTGAACAATCAAGATGTTTTGTTTTCTTAGATTAATTTTTGTTTAAATTATACAGAACCCTCCTATTAACCTTTTTCGATTCCGAACCCGTAGGTCTGCAATTTCCAATTGCGGCATTGTTGTAATTTTTTCGGAACAGATTCGCACCGTCAGAATCGCACATGTTTGTTGATGCCTTATATGGACCTTGCATGGTCACATTGTTTGATCAAACTGCCTTCTGTGTAATTAGATGATTTAGCTTACACGCTTCAAAAAACCCATCAAATTTCAGTTTTTCGTTTTGGATGAATTTGAAGAGAAGCTTAAGAAAGCTTTGTATTCATTTGTTAATACTAATACTAAGTCGTATACTTTTTCCTTGTTCAATTATGTGTTGTAACAAAGCGTTTTATTCGCTCCGCCGCTTCTTCTACGATGCTGGGGTATACTCGCCGTGTCCAGGGTTCGTTACAATAAATTTGTAGTTTCGGGGCTCTGGTAAATCGCACTTTATTAATTTAATTTTCTTAGTTTCTACAAAGAACATATAACAAATAACAAAATTTGCTGGCGTCACTTGCAGTGGTTGGGTAACGGCTTCCTGTCCCGTTATGGGCCCGTTAGGCGGTAGTGGCATGGCTTCAATTCTGGTGAGCAGCACTCTGTTGACGCCGTTGAATGGCGCGCTGCTAGCCTCGGTACGCCAGTCGTGCGCTGTTGACGGCGAACGAGAGGATGTCGTTCGTACGCGGCTTCGCGGTAGACAGTGGCGAGCGGTGATCGGAACCATTTTTAATGATCACTACTCTGAGTGGTGATGTCTTGTGGTGTGTGTGTACCACTCACAAGCAATCGCTCCATTCAGCGGTAGTTCTCACTACAAAATATGGTTCTCTA